AGTGCAGGAATTTTTCTACTGTTCTCCAGTCTTGAGGGCCAGAGGTGCAATTCCCCTCTCCACCTTTTTTTTTTTTTTTGCTTTTGTGACTTTACAGTAACTTTCAGATAGTAACTTAAGGATCTTTGTTGAAAGTATTTTGGTATATAATACGTACAGTCAATATCTTGTTCCCTTTCAAGCTCCACTGTGTAGATGGCACTCTTACTGTTGACTTCCCTTTGATATGCAGCCTGGGAGCATTAGCCATCTGGTACTTCACAAGGAGCATTGCTTCTGTGTCATTATATGCATGTTTGCATGCTTCTTGTATCTTTATACAGAGTTTTAAGTATGTTGGAGAACCTCCTGTTGTTCTTACAAAAAGTGAATGATTCTGGTAGTAATGAAAAGTGAAGCATCCTTACTACGACAACTTAAGTGAGAACTTACTTGAAAATAGTTCTTGTTGATAAGCTGTAACAACATAATCACTGAAGAAGGGAATGAGTTTCTTCATAATTGCTCACAATGGGCAATATAAAACATTATTGTATCTGCTATTACTTTAGAAAAAGGAAAGCTTGCTCTTAGAAGTCTGGTTCCTTCGTCTACTTGGGTTTTAGTTAATATGTTCTTTTGGTAACCTTTTTATCATTTCATGGGACCGTGTAAAGCAGTTCAGGAAAAGCAGGTTAATAGAAGAATATAGACTCTAAAGTGTTCTAAAAGATGTGGGTTTTGGTCCCAGTGGAGACTGACACTCCAGCCTACTTACTGTAGCTGGAATGTATTGATTTTCTTCTCCACCCATTTTAGCTGCACCACTGAATTAGGTATTGTGAAGCATCTTTCCCTGTGAAGAGAAGAAAAACTGTCATGAACTTTTTCACCCTAACAGTACAGCATTTCAAACTAAACCCAATTGAATGGAAGAGTCTGTAAGGACTCTTAAAAACCTTGTAACTCAGCTCCCCACTCTCATTTCTCCCCCTCCAACAGCTGTTCCAGCAACCTTGAGAAAGTATGATTGCAAGAAATTAATTTTTAAATCTTTTTTCATTAAAAACAACAACAGTTATAAGAAAAATCTGTGAAAACAATGCCTTCCTGTGTGGCATGATCTCCTAAGGTTAGCAAAGTGGTCTTGTTCAGGTTTTCAGCGAGATGTTCAGTTGCTGTTATAATTGGCTGATGAGTAGGTTTGGACCTAACTAGAATGCCAGTGTTCGATTTCACAGTGTCCTCTGTGAAGATATGTCACCATTTACCCTGGCTTTAGTGACAATTTTCTAAAAAGGAAACTCGTGGGAAATCATTATGCTGTTTATATGTCTCCCTTGTTGGAGAGCATTATCCTGTGATATTTTAGCACTGTTTTCCACTGCATGATGGCATCTAGCTAAGGTTAAGGCAGAACAAGTCCCTCTGCAATTTTGTGACTATATTTTACTTGCTGAAGGAGAAAAGATAACCGACAATTAAGTATTTCAGATGTCACGGAAAGAACATGTGCAACTAATCAATGACATCCTTAGGGAACATGATTTTATGAAACTGATAAGGTAGAAAAATTGGGATTTTTGTGATTTGTGTTACATAATAATAATTGCACCCTTTTGATGAAAAAGACATTTCTGCTGATGTAAACATCAGGCTTTCCCTTGTGGGTTTTTTTTTTCCTGAAGCACGAAGTAGTTCATTAAAGTGTGACAGTAACAGATAAACACCCTTTACGATTTTCTAAGAAAATATGGCGCTTATACTCTTAGTTCAGCTGAAATCAATGAGTTTGAAAAATGTATTTCTGGAGTCACTTCCCAAATCACTTGCCAGAGGTTGTGTTAGGCGTTTTAGTTTTGGGTTTTTTATTTATTTTAGGAAGGAAATACACTTGCTGTTTTTTTTCTTAAATTAGGCTACTTAGCACTCTGGGGCCCATATTTAAAACTCCTTGCTATGATCTTGGTAGAATTCAGATGTATTAGAAATTCACATTACTAACAAACTAATCGTGAGGTTTTGTTTCTTTAAAAATATATATCTTTAAGTTTCTGATTGCAGAGCAAACAAGGTAATAGTCATGTTTGCAAGCCAATGTCATATATTCACGTGAACAAAGGCTACAGTTGAGCACTTTACATCACAAATTATAGGTAGTGGTTTAGATACTTTACCTGCTGGTTCCTTTTCTGCTCAGCTATTATTTAAAGGTCATCAAGTTTGCAGTCAGAAGTCAAAAATCTGTTGTATTATAGGCTGTTCCAGGTAAATTAAGCCAATTATGATAACATTTATTTCTGATTTCAGGATATTTTTTGAACAACTTAAATAGGAAGTTGAGAATGCTTACATTTTTCCCTGGACATTCACTTTGGGCCACCACCAGAGGTAGGAAATGCAGCTAGACTGACACACCTAATCCCATGTGGCTCGCTTTTTTTGTTGTAGTTCCCAGTTTCCCAGGTTTTTTTCTCTTTTCCTTTGGTTTTTACCATGTGTATTAAACAGCTGGATTATGTGCTGGTCCTTTTTTGTACTGAAGCCAAGGAAGTCAAGCCAGAAGATAATTTGCCTTCCTATTAGTATAATTAACTCACACCTTCATTTATTTTTTAATTCCTTAAAATGTATGTCACATTACATTACATCAGTTGAAAAATCCTCCTTTGTTCAATGCAGTCATTCCTCCCTTCATAAAATTCTGGAAATGACAAAATTCCCAGTGAACAGATTCAGCATCCAAAATACAGTGCAGTGCAGAATTGCCTTTGCTTCTCTGCAAATTCTACATTTTCAAGTTTATTGATCACCAAAGCTGAGTTATTGACAGTTAACAAACTATATGGATTAACACACTATAACAGGTGCTCTTTGCTTTTTGTAAAATATGTTTTGTCAGGGCAGGGTTAGCAGGGCTTGGGTTGAGTTGATACATGTCGTGAAAAAACCCTAAAAAATACAATGAGGTATTAATCTGGAGTGTGTGGAAGTAGAAATGAATAGGTTTGTAAGAGCTGTCAGGAGCTTTCCTTTTACACAGTGATGTATCCTTCCCTGACAATCACTGTTCTTGTTCAGCAGCCTCAGCAGGCAGGTCAACTTTTGGAAGAAGCTGTCAAGAGGTCTAAGTATGAGGTTGCACGTAAGCATTGGATGCCCTTAAACACCTTTATACAACTTTTTGGAGTTCTTCATTGCATATAATTAGTAAGATGGTTTTATTTGAGCAAATCATATGCATTGTTATGCAGTTCACACACCCTCTGAATATGCATCCACCTCCACCCCTCCTTCTGTGCATAACCTGAATGCAGAACAGGATAAATTTTGCATCAGCAGAGTGCTGATTTTGCAGGTATGCAAATGAAGTGGCATTTTTTAATGCAGCATCTTCCTATAGAGGTGAACTGAAAGGCTTAACACTTGCCAATGTTTCAGACCTTCCTAGTTGCTACATCCATTAAAAATCTAGAACAGAGAAGTTCAAAAGCTGCATTTTTCCCTGGGTTTTTTTTCAAACGTTAGTGATGGCCTCAGCTGTTGAAGAAACATAGAATCTGAATTTAGATTTGCAAACATAACATAAAAAAGAACCAGTTCTCAAATATCTTTGTTTTCAAATGTGTTTCTCTCTGTAAGTCTATGCACATCTTATTTAATTTTTACACTAACTGGGTTTTCATTGCACAAATAACCAAACCATTTGCTATAAAACCTGCTATAAAATCTAGATGAACTCGAAGTGTGTCTTCCAACCTAATTTTTCTTTGTGATCCTTTTATCCTCTACATACCACTGCATCTCCCTAGTGATATTGTAATGTAAAAGACTACACACAAAGGAGTAAGTTACCTCCTGAATGTAAACAGAACAATGCTTCTTCCCATCACCAGCCTTGTTTCTTCTCCAGGTTTTGTTTCTCCTAACATAGGGTGTGAAAATGAACAGGATGAACTTGGACAGCTCTACTTGTACAAGTCCCTTTTTTTATAAGTCTGTTGAAGTTTCTCCCATGCATACATTCACTCCGGATCCAGGCCTTTATGAAGGAAAGCTCTTTAAGGAAGAGCTTGTGGCTTTTGTTTGCATGTGAAGTACCTGTGTTATCAGAATGTGTGGCAGTATGAACAGCAAATAAATAGGGGCTTAATCTTTTGGGTGAGACATTGGTTGATTTTATCAACTGTTTTGTTTGTCTTGTGAAAATTAAAGATCAACAATTATCTTTGGTCTGCTTCTATGAAACTTATCAGAGATCTGTTGTTTCCTTTAAAAGTCAATCTTTCATGATGAACATGCACCTAAGCATCTCATTTATTTGCTACATATTTTTAAGTGTACTTGTAATTCGTTCACTGAAAATCATAAATCATCCCATCAATGGAAGAACGAAGGAGGATGGGGTCTGGGCATTATGTCATTGCTGTGGAAGAATGTGGCAGGTCTAGCCAGCAGCTTCTTGGTCAGAGCTTTTGTCCTTAGGAGTCACAGCGCACATGTGAGGAGTACGTTGTAAGCTGATCTGTCAAGCCAAGCAAAGAGTTTCCCTTGTTAGCATTTACCAAGGCTTGCATTAATAAAATGGAACAAAATGGAGACTTCCTTTTCCCACTGATGTGCCAGACAGGAGTCTTCTGTGAGGTGAATGCAAAAGCACTGAGCTGTAGCTGCTTTACTTTATGTTTTAAAGAAACAGAATTTTATTCACAAATGAGTGTGCCAACAGCTTAGTTCCAGAATCAGACATCTCTGCTTGACAGGAATCTAGCTTAGCACCAGTGATGGCAGGTGAAAAAGAGTATGGTAGCATAAGCTGAATGTACGTATATGCAATTTTATTAAGAACTGTGGTTTTCCTGTTGAAATGAAGCACTCTGAAATAGGTATTAAAAAAGGGAGAAGAATTGAAAAGTGTTGCAAGTGGGAAATATTTGGGTTGCTTGAATTAATGTGTGCGATATCTAAACTATTAAAAATCTCATGTTTCTATTGTGCCTTTGTTTGGTTTTTTTTTACAGACAGTCATTTTAGAAAATGAAGAGCTCCCTAAAATATTTCTTGATTTCCTGAACGTTCGCCATGTACCTACCTTGCCAAAAGCAGAAAGCTGTGGGTAAGCTCTCATTTACTGAAAAATACATGGAGGCCAAAAGGCCCATATCCACTCAGTGCTGTTGCAATTCCATTGATATAAAATGGCCTTGCAGCCAGCTCTTAACACTGTACAATAAATGGGCATTAGGTTCATGTTAAGTATGTTTATATATCCCGGAAAGGTGGTAAAACAAATCCAGCCTGTTCAAAGACAGAAGTGAGGTTTAATGCAATATTCTTGGAAAGCAAAGGAGAGTTTAGGTGAGAAAACTGTGATTGTCTCATAGATCGTGAGGTATCTACTGAAATGAGTGTTGTAAGATATTCATAAGCACTCACTAAAGTTGCATAGAAAGCTTTTGCCTGTGTTTTATGGTCATAGTATCTGGACAAAATAGAAGTTCATTCTGTGATCATTTTATGATCTCCCTCTGTGTGTCAGAAAACGGGGTCTTTCACCTTTCTGATGACATAGACTCCAATGGCCCCATTGCCCTTCCCCTGGGAAGGGTTCTTTACCAGGGTAGGAGAAGGGAATCTTAGTATGATTATGATGAGTGTCATGACTACAGAAACACCCCAAACAGTTAACTGGAAGCTCTGCTACCATCTGCAGCTGTAAGGTTTGCAGGGAGAATGATTTCTTCTGCTATGCAACCTGATGTAGTTGGGAAGTCCAGCAATGTTACCAGAACTTGCTTCCCAGAAAGCTATGTGTCTCTTTTCCACTTTGCGGGAGGCTGTGTGGATCTGCAGTGGAGAGAAGGTGAGATGAAAAAGAAAAAAGTGGAGATAATTTTGAGGCCTTCTTACACTCAGAGGTGTCTGTGGCCCAGGGTGGTCTCCAGAGTGATTCAGAAGCTAACAGACTTGTAGTTTTCACTTGTAGTTAAAGACATCAGCTAGTGCCCTCAGTGGGACTGTACCCTATTACATCATAGACAGGTAGATAGATATGCATGTGAATCTGTTCAGAGTAAAATGGATGCTGTCATTTCCAAGTAGCAGTGGTTGTAAAATGATGTGATCTCCCACATTCATTTCATCACACTGCATGATGCAGCCACTGACAAGAAAAAGGTTGCTCCCTTTGATGGTTCTTAAAGGATTTGAGTTTGGTTTTTTTATCATAGAGTTAATTTTGTTGTAACCAAAGTTTCCTCCCACTTTACTTGCAGCTCTTTTGATGAAACAGAATCTGAAGAATCAAGGTGAGCTTGATTCCTACTCTTTCTAGGACACCAGGTTAATAAACTACTTGAAATTATTGGTGTTTACCATATTTGTTCCTTGCAGTTGGCAAAATGGCAGTAGTTCAGCATTAAAATTAGATGTTAAGTATTATTTCATCAGCTGTGCAAGATCCATCAATTTGTAGTGTGAATTGAGCATCCTTATGCTTGTATTGAGAAATTCCTTACAAAACCCTAATAGAACACTGCTAGCTCTGAAATATTTCTGGGAGTGTTTTTTACCCATTGAAGTGTATTTTTCCTAGTAAGAAGATTTAGCAGAAGGAATTAAGAGATTTGGATTCTCCCCTAAGTGTTTGATAGAGCTTTGTATGTCTCTGGTTGCACTACTTGGCATGTGTATGTACAGAGCAAGGAGGGGCTGGTGATGGCTGGGGGAGGATGTCTGTACCGTGACCAGGATGGGAGACAGCCCTCTGAGGGGCTTCCAAGGACTTTCTCCCCATGAGTGAGGTGTACAGCAACCGCTTTGGGGGCTGGAAGAATGTGGTGAAATTCTGAGTCTGTCTGCTGCCCTGAAGAGCCTGTAGACCTGGCTGTAAATGATCTTGTAGCTTTCATTACACCAAGTACCAGGGAGCAGAGCAGGGTCAGGAAGTCTCAAAGCCAGCTTCACCTCCAACTTCACGCTGACGGTTTCACTGTGTGGGTGAGGAGCAGCAAGCTTTGCTCCCAGGAGATGGAGCCTGCCCTTTTTGGGCAGTGCTGGTGTGCAGAAAACACACCAGCATGGCTCCTGCACGGCTCAACCACCTCACTTTATCAAAGCTAGTTTGTAGAATATTCTGTTTGCTGTCCCTTGATACTGACATCCCTGTTCTTGACCTTTCCAGCAAACTGTCCCACCAGCCTGTGCTGCTGTTCCTAAGGGATCCATATGTCTTGCCTAAAGCCAACGGTAATCAAACCTGTCATCTGTTAACAGCACTTTACTGATCTGACCCTGCACCGCATAAACCACATTATTATTAATACTGGCCTAGTCAAATGACACTGGTCCAAAATCTAATAACCTGCCAATAAAACAATAGTTCTTGTGTAAGAAGCCATTAAAACACTAAGTGGGGTGGGTGATTTATAAAAGGTTGGAATTTTCTCCCCCAGTTGTTCTCTCAGACAAACCTACTGAGAATTCAAATCACAAGGCGAAGAACATTGCCTTTCTTTTCTTGTTGTTGACCCTTTGGGCTGTTTTGCCTGAAGGATTTGAACTTAGAGGCCCACTCCTTTGTAAGTGCTTTTTCCCTAAACACCAGTCTATCTACTGCAAGCATGATTGTATTTCCATTTGGATTATTACTGTTTCTTATCGCTTATAACCTCTAGAGCTCTTCAGGGGAAAGAAAAAAAAAAGAATGTGATGTGTTTCACAGGACATTTACATTGGCCTTCATCTCTTAATACATGGTTCAAACGAGTGGTTGAAATAGCTTGTTATAAACCCTTTTTTCTTTTTTTTTTTAATGAAAAGTTCTTTGCATTATTAATTCAGAGAACTTACACTCTGTCTTAAATGCATGCAGGAAAAAAAAAGACCATTTTTAGCATTGTGTTCCTCCTGGTTTTGTAATTTTACTTGTTTGAACTGTTACTTCTATTAAATTTTGAATTAAAAATGTAATACACTTTCAAGGGAGAATCTTCTCCCAGAGCTGCAAATTCAGATTTTTTTTTTTTTGTTTTAATGTGGCATTCTGTTTGATTTTACAAAATACCATGTTGAAATCAAGAGTCAGGTTCTTGAGCTGCCTTGTAAATCATGACGTTTTTAAGAGTAAGTTTAGGAAAGAACACTTCTTCGCTTGTAGTTTCTTAGCCAATGAAGTGTACTTCCTTGAGATTTTCTCAAGGTGTATGTAAATACCTGAAGGGAGGGTGTCAAGAAGACAAAGCAAGCCAGGCTTTTTTTAGTGGTGCCCAGTGACAGGACAAGAACATCAGGGCATCAGGGACATCAGGAAACACTTCATCACTCTGAGGATGACCAAGCGCTGGCACAGCTTGCCTGGAATGGTGGTAGAGTCTCCATCCTTGGAGCTACTCAGAAGCCGTCTGGGCATGGTCCGGGCAGCTGGCTGTAGGTGTCCCTGCTTGAGCAGGGGGTTGGACCAGACAACTGCCAGTCATCTCTTCCAGCTGCAACCATTCTGTGATTCTGTTGTTTATTCAAGCTGCTTTTCAAAACCATAGGGACTAAGCTCATATATCAAAATGGGTTAAATAGTCTCTCTTGCCTGCAGTGTCCACTCTTGCTAGTAGTGTGGCCCAACAGTATTGACCCTACGGAGTCTTAGTGAAGTTAAAAGTTGTAGTTCTACAGTGGAACAGTGGCTGCAGAGGTCCTGTCTGACCGAGGTCCACATTGGAAGACACATTACAGGGTCATTTATTTTTTACTTCAACTTAGCACTAGTCTGGTTGTGTGGACTGAATGCCCTTTTGAGGCTGGACTGCAAATCACTAAACTGATGAACCAAAGCGCAGTAAGAGGAGATGGTCACTTCACAAGCTCACTCCTGACTCAAGTGACAACGGAAAAGCAGAGGCACCCACAGAGTTACCTCTGTCTAAAAGTTGGTCCAGATGCTGCCTATACTAATATTTATAGTGGGCAACACTGCATGTCTTAATCTTTACTGTTTAATGCTCCTCTTGATTGCAAACTTGGATTCCTCGAGAGCAGTGTGTAGATTATGAACATCATTTCATTCCATACCATTCCTGAGAGAGGAAGTGGATTTCTTAGACAGTTATCCTGAAAAACGAAGACAGTGCTTAATGTTTCCAGCCCACATGTAAGGTTTTGCTGTAGGAACTTGTATTCAAGATTTTGCAGTTGGTATTTATCTTCCTTCCCTAATGCACACTCCGAGTAAGGCTAAGCTTCCCTTTCTTGAAATCATTAGAAACTTTATAATGAATTTTTAACTACTCTTTTAAGTAGTGCTTTACTTGGATTAAGATAAAAGCCTCTTCTAATGCATGACATGTTTTTAAGTATCAAGTAGGCCTCATTAGTGACATCTGAAACAAAGGACTTTTCAGGCTTTCACCAAGGCATTTTCTGGCCTTGACACACAGTACTTAGAATTTCATACGGCAGGTGAATATACCTTGTATTTGAAGACCCTAAAACATCAAATTCATTTGCAAGTTAGTCTTTAACTTAATGTATTAAAACACAAAGTAGAGTGTGAGTTGCAGTTTAAAAAAGGAAGATGAAAACCAAATTGTAAGTCTGGAGACTCTATTAGTTGACTCAAGTCTAGTTAGAAAGAAACAAGTTTTTACACAACCACCATTGCCTTTAATTCGTCTTTAATTTGCAGCACAGAGAAAAATATAGATGAGCTTTCTAAAATTTTCTCTCTCAGATCAGTTCTGGCTTCGATAAACTCTGATTCCCTTGTAAAAAGAAGCCAAGGCTGTTCAAACCATGACCAAAAGTAAGTGTCCATTAGCAAATTCATTGTATGTACTCTTTGAGGAAGGTGAACTACGATGGTTGTTTGGATCAGAAGGGGAGTTAGTCTTTCCTGGATACCGGAATGCCCATAAAATAGGAAGTTGTGTATTTGTGGGTTTTTAATGACAAAAAATAGTTGTTTCTGGAACACAATCCTCAAAGAACAATTTTTCCCGCTCATTACACTGTCTTTATAAAATACAGTCTTGCCACTGACTGGACCTTAAGCATTGTTGAGTTGCAAGACAACTTTCCAAAAACAAGATTCATGGTTACAAACCTCATATTGATTTTCAGACTCCCTCTTCCATGATGTATCTAACACAGTCTGGTGCATGAGCACATCGCTTTTTGTGTAAGGTGGCCACTTCTCTTTGAGGGGGTGGAAAAAAAAGTTATGTACGATTTTGAAGAAAAATGAAGGAAAAATCTGAAAAGCTGCAAATGGAAAGTGATACCGCCAAAGCTAGAAAATGGAATCTCAGACTTACTGTCACTTGTTTGAAAATTGTTCTGACAATTCTTTAAGCCATGTAAGTATCACAGATCTGTGAGACTTTGCCTGGGTGTATTTATATGTCTAACTTAAATTAATATGCTTGATTTTTTTAAGCAACAAAGCCTCACAATAAATCTGATGCTGTAAAGTTGTATCATTTTTTTAATCAATACTCATTTTCCTATATATACTGTATGTTATAGAAGAACCAGTAAAAACTGGTTTCTGAAACTGCAGCATTTAATTTAGAAGGAAAGCATCAGATTGCCCTTACAAGTGTATTTTTAATAACATTAATGACAACAGCACGGGGTTATTCTACCAGGGTGATTTGGGATAGCTGAGCTTGCAGGACTTGAGGAATCATTATTGGATTCAAAATATTAACAAGTAATTTATAATGATGACTTACTATGAGAGGTTGGGGAGAATTATGCATGTATTGTTTATGGTGGAGGTTGCAGTTTGTTAAAATATCCTAAAAAATCTCTGTTTGAAACATCTTTAAAACACTGGAATCACCTCATTAATACCTGTAACACCTTTAAACTAATTAATAAGGATTTTTTTTTTTCTTACCGAGTCCAAATACACTTTTTGCTGAATGTTTTTACCTCCAAAATTGTCTTAGCAAAAGAATTAGAGGCTAAACCTAATTCCCACCCACATTAGGTGGGAATCTAATTTATCAAGTATCTGAAGATTTTTATGCAAGTTCGTTCTCCCCTTTTTGAATATCCTGTAGGCTGATCGGTGAAGGAAAGATTTTATTAGCGTGGGAAGTTCTGGATCAGACATAGTCTGTTCTTGTAGGCCAACCCACTTCCTAGTGTGCTAGCAATTTTAAGATCGTAAGATGTGATCAGGAATTGTTACTCTTAATGCCCAGTGATTTAAGTACACCCTTCATTAGAAGTGCAGGAGTTTTGAAAAACGTGAAAAATATTTTCACTTTAGTAACATATATCCTGCCATTCCTCTGTGTGGATATATTACTGTGGATCTATTACAGGTAATTCTTTCATGCTAAATTTAACAAGAAAATTAAGTGCCAGTTTCCCCTACATCTGTGGTAAGAAAACAGTGGATTTTTCCCCAACACACACCTTTGGATGTTAGAGGACGACTTTTTGTAACACATGACATTTTATGTTGATTAGACAGCCTGAAATTTTCCTGCCTCAAATAATCATCTCTGATCGTATAGGCATCCTCAAGTCTTCTCGGTCTAAGCATTGCTGTAAACCACAATGGAAAAACAGCTTTGAAGTATTCCCAGTAGCAATCTTGGAATTCCTTCAAGTATATTGAGATTTTGTTAGAAATTGAATTGCCAGTGTAATCCATCTTCCTTGTGAGAAAAGATTCAGATAAAGAGCTGGAGCCTAGCAGCATTAAGTATTAGAACATCCCTTTAAATCAATAAGCTACAAATCTGGCAGCGCATTCATGCAATGCCCAGTGCTACACTAAAGTGGCTTTAGTGCTGAAACAGCATTACTAATCGCACATCCCCAGCACGGATAAACAGTTGAGTGATGCGGTAACCCAAATTATATGAGGCCCTACCTAGTTAAGTTTCACAAAAACATTTATATTGTACTGACATAGATAAGAAAGCAAGGGTTTTTTTCTTTTTTATTTTTTTTTCAGATGACTTTCCAAATGTAGTTATAGAAGGCATTCTGCATGGAATATTTTATCCCCATTTACTGCCCAGGTAGAAGTGATGCGTGGCTAGAAGAAGCTGAAGCAAGTCTCCGAGTCGTGTTTAGTGGAATTAACAGGAATAAATTTCTGTGATGTGAAAATTACGCTCAGAAGCAAGAGGCACAACCTCAGTTTAAGTTCAAGCATTATATCTTTTTAAATAAAATCAATGTCACTACAACTGCTGCTTTTAAAAAAAGAAGATATGGAAACAACAGTATTGAAGTTATTTATACCTTCTATATATTGACATGCTCTAACTATTTAACACTAAAAGCTGAAAGTCATACACTGAATTACACTAACCTTTGAAAAGAATTGAAAGCTTTATTAATTATTTCTGTAATTTCTATCATAAATTACACTAAACCTTTTTGCACCAGGATTTTTCCCAGCACATTACCCATTGCTGGCAGTGGATGGATTAAAAGTGCTGGCACTGAAGAGAGTGTGTGAGAAATTGCCAAAAAAAAAAAAAAAATATTAAAGCAAGAAGAAATTGAAAGCAACTTAAAAGTTATTATTTTGTTAATTTTGCTTAAATTATTTTGACTCTGCTCCTTAATATCAGGTTGGAAAAGAGCAAGTGCAAGTGCATGGGGATTTTCTGTTAGAAAACATGCTTCCACATTCTGAAATAAATAGCGCACTCTCAGGAACTTTTCTAGATTTCAGTTGAAATTATTTTATCTACCAGGAGATTTTACATGGCATTTATGCGTCTCCATTCAGTTATGACATCTAACCCATGTGTATGTTTACTCTTAACGTCAACTTGCAGACTGTATTCCATATCTTAACATTTTATAAGTAAGTCACAGAGCATACAACTCTGTGGGAAGCTAAAGCAAGAACATGATTAAGTAGTAAAATGACAAAACTAAAACTGATACATATATATATACAGTTACATATATATATGTATTTGTTCGGATTTAACTGGAAATTTGTATCTGTGCTACTGGACATTACAAAATAAATTACTAGAACAAGAATGTACTGCTTCAGTGTATTTTTCATGCGTTTCTATTCAAACAAACTGAGCTTGTGTCACCAGAGATGGGTCTCACAAATGGCTCCACACGAAGCATGAGAAAATACTTGGGTGTCTGCTCGTTTAAAACTCTCAGCACCATCCTATCTGAACATGCTAGCCTTACAGAAGCATATGCCTTGGGGGAAAAAAACCAGTGTAATTGAACAGCCAGTAAGTCATCAGGCTCATGAGAAGAAGGGAGCGTTGCGCAAAAGCAGCAGTGGCAAAGCTTGACACGAGCAGAGGTCTGATCCTGGAGACACATGGGCTGCCTCCTGCTGACTATGAAATCCATTTTAAAGCTGCTTGGGGGTGGTGGAAAGGCGGGACTGGTATAAAAGGCAGGCTGCTGGCTGCAGCACTTGTGCAGGTAGCAGGACTCTCTATGCTGTCTGCAGGACCAACCTCCAGGAAAGCTTTCAGAATGCCATTTAGGTGAGGGAGCCTGAGACTTCCTTGTTCTTACTTCCTAATGCTGCTTCCCAGTGCTGCCTTCCAGAGAATATTACTTTAAACAGTTAGTTGAAAGAAAAACTAACAGGGATAGAATGGAAGTCTGATTTTCTAGTATTGGGCAAATTTAGAGACCCTTGACAAGTTCTCCTCCAGCCCTTGTTTTGAAGAGGACAGTAATCCTTTTGTGGGTCTCTGGAAATAAAGCGTCGGTATTTACCCTCCGGAGAGGGTACCCCAGGACTGTGGATGGTGAACAGCAGAAGCACCCCTGCAACTACAAATGACACAGAGCAATACTGCAAGAAAAAGTGTTTGGGCTTTATCATAAATGACATTAGCTAGGTGTTACAAAATTCACTGTGCTGCAAAACAAGGACTCTTGTGTTTTAATCAGTTTCTAACTGATGATCTTTAAAAATAGAGCTGCTCTTTCTCGATTGCAGGATTCCGCCTGAATACTGTGGTTTTTTTGAAAGACAGCAGGGACTTTATCTGACATGTTAAGATTAGAGAAATTTACCATCCCTCCTCTAACCTTACAACCTCATTGCCTGGAAAGCAGCACCTCCCTGCTTATTTTGCAGAATCAACTCAGGTGAGGAAAAAAAGGCCTTTGCGGGGGGAAATAAAAAAGCTCTTCATTAAGTATTTATTTGAAATCAAAGTTTATTTATTCAACACACTTATGTATTTTATTTTTTTTTCTTTTTTTAAAAATGCTGATACTATTAGAGTAGTATTTTCAGTTGAAAAGGCAGAAACAAATATTGCAAAAACTTTCAGAGAACAAAACAACTGTACTTCAAACCCTGAAAAAAAAAGGTACTAAAATTTTTGATGAAAGACTTTTTCTGTAAGAGCTAGGATTTAATTAGGGTTATGCCTTGAATTCCCAGGAGTGACAGCTCCATCAAGTTGTTACAGAAATGGTCATATCTTTTATGCATTTGGCAAATAAGTATTGTCTAAAAATAGCCTCCTGTGTTTTGAGGAGAAAACTCACTGGATAGTTGAGATCAGCCAAAAACAGGCCTTAAAGAAACGTTAAATTTTACTTTCCATTCTGACTGTTGGTCTCACCAGTCACCTACTTCAACTACAAAAGGTTCTTTTACAGCTATTTTGCCACTGTTCACAATCACACAGTCCTGAAGGGGCCGGTCATGTTCATCTGTCTGCTGGAGTTCTATCGAGTGCACCACAGACTGTTAAAAAAACAAAGAAAAAAAGTTCAGTTTAGCCAAGGGAATGCCAGTGGCTCAAGTCTGGCACCAGGTAAACAACCAAGCGCTCCTACCATTACTATTTATTAAGCAACTTCTGAAGAAAGACCTTTAACCAGTTGAGTTCCCACATGCTTTTTTTCCCCCCCCCCACATTAACAGTTGAGCCCCTCTGCAATCCACACACAGTTAACAGAAGCACATGGAAGGCTGTCTGTCCTGTAAAAACCTTCAGCCAAAAAAACATTATAAAGGGGCAACTGAAAACATCCCTTCAGCTGATCAACCAAGCACATACAGGGTCTACCTGTAGCCTATGAGCAGAAAGTGAATCTAAATATCATAAAAGGATGAGCAGTAATTATTTTTCTAATCGTACAGCATAACTCTGCTTCGAGAAATCTTATGAATGCTTTTGCCTTTACTGTTACACACAGATTTTAAGTGTGGTACCATGCCCTCAAGTCCAATAGGTACTGCTAAACTACCAGCCTCACGCTAGGGAACTAATTAGAGTATTTTTAAAGGATAAAATTCAGTTAGGAGGATCGACTGCCTGGCTTTGGCTATCTGTCCATTAATCTAACTGAATGTGGGAGTGGGGGGCAAGTGTTCTGATGGGGTTTTCAAACTCCTCAAAGAACTAGTCAGTGCAGCAGTTCATGTTTCCCCCATTCACTTCAACACACAGATTAAACACAATAATATAAAAGGAAAACCAGACTACTAAAAGTATAATCAGTTGGAAGTACCATTTTACAACTTGAATTGTATTTGGCCTGTGATCAGTTTTGCGCTGTGAACAGTTTGAGGGAATTAACTATATTTTTTTTTTTGAAACAGATCTGAATATACATGTTTGTGTGCTTTACATTCACATGCTTCTAAAACCCCTAACAGTGAAAGTGTCATCCATAACTAGCACACGCTACAAAATTAGATTTTAGCTTGTAGAAATACAATTATTTCATGGCTAACAGCGTTAGTGAAAGGGAGACCTGAACTCATTCCATTTGTAATCTGCAAAGGTGTCAGTGTTGATTTCAGTGGTTAGTGGTCTGAAACACGAGCTGTGAAAGCTAAAGGCACGATTTAAGTTTCCATTTCTGCAGTCACCATTTGCTATTTCAGTTCTAAATCGTCCAGCTCCAGGCTCTTCACAATCGTTTTCTACCATGTACATATTAGATAAACGCTTGATTGTTTTGAACCACAATGATCTAAGTTACGCTAACACAGATATAAGGCAGCAGAATTTGTCCAGATTTTCTTGGATTAATGTTGCCACTACTTTTAGCTTACCATTCCATCAAGGACTTTGCCAAATACTACATGTTTTCCATCTAACCAGGAAGGCTTTGTCACACTGATGAAGAACTGGGATCCATTGGTGTCTGGGCCAGAATTAGCCATGCTAACCCATCCAATTCCGTAGTGTTTGAGCTTGAAGTTCTCATCTGGAAACCTTTCTCCATAGATGCTTCTTCCTATGACACAAAATAAGAAAGCAAATTCAAAAAAAAAAAACAAACCAACAAACCCAAACCTTTTTGTTCACAAATGGGAAAAACAAAGTATAAATTCAGGACTTCAATATTCATTGTTTGAGTAAAAACAGCAACATCATTGTTCCATTGTCAGTGACTCCGTAACTAAATGCATTTTGCGTGTAAAGAAAAAGGTAAGCTAAAATACATATAAGGAGAGAATATTCACAGCTGATGACGCTTTACCCTTTGAATTTAATAAGCAAGCCAGTTACCTTCAAAGTTCTTGCCTGCATACACCACTGAACAACAGTATACTTCATCCTGCTCAACAAATTTAAATTACACAATTATGGCCACTAAAAATAAGGTTGCCATGTTTTGTGACAATTTTAGTCTTTACTTCTACAACTTTTTCTCCCAATAAAAAAATGCTTTACACATGAAGACCAAATGGAAGTTAGCCTGAAAGACTCAGTGTGGATTTGTACAATCACTACGTAAGGATTTTGATGTTTCTAAAGTGGTTCAGAAGAGCAAACATTAGAGTCACGTTTAAACCATCGCTTTGAAAAGAGAAGGCTTGTCTGTCTTATTCCTTATTTGCACAGTGCCTAGCACAATGGGGACACTGCTCCCAACACCACCAGATACTATCCCAGTAAACGATATTAGCAGGCAAACAAACACTGCTTACTGTTTGTTTTTATGCTAAAACTGTGCCTTTGGTATTTTAGCCTCCCTCCCTGCCCCATTCTTTGCTGCAAGGAAAAGGAATGCGTGTTTTGCGTTCTGTCCTAGCGGGGAACTCACTAACATTGTATACAGACAGTTCAAATCATAGCACATGAAGAACATGTGTGTCAAGGAAAAGAAGAAATCGGAAGTCAGAACGCATGCAATGCAAGAGATGCTGTGCCAGGGTTGCCCTCCTTAGTGGTCTGAACTGGTCTTCTGGCGGCTCAGGAGGGAGAGGTGATACACCCAGCCAGAATTCACACCACCAGTAACTTTACGGTTTTAAATGTAGAAAAAAAGGGAATAGGGCATCAGCCTCATTTTCTAGTTTCTCGATCCCTGTTTTGAAATTCCCTCCCACAGCACATCTCAGAAGGTTCCAAAGAACTAGCTGAGCTGAGGGCAGAGAGGACAGCCTACTCCTTCCCTACCTGCCTTCCCTCTACGTGCTTTCACTGTTTCATCACGGATTAGTTTTCTGCTGGATGACTTGAATTGGTTCACGTATACATGCAATCAATGAGTGCCTCAGGGAAGGAGCGCTGCCGCAAAGCCAGAGCAGGGAAAGGGCGGAGA